GTGTCAGTAAGGCCCAGTGTAGACAACACAACTTCGTTGTATGTATTACAAGCTTATGATAGCTTTGTATTGCAAATTGTTTCATGTCAATTGATCAAACTTACAACTTTCGTATAATTGAGGTGTACAACACTCAAAAAAATGACAGCTTCTCCAATGTTTTTTTGAGCCCGTTTTCCTGATGGGTCCTTGAGACCCTGAAAAGTCCTGAAATTTGTTTTGGTATTTTCCAAGGCTTGTTAGTCCTGTAAATTTGTGATTTAATTTCTCATTAACTAGAGAGGAAAAAAAGATGTTTAAAAAATGAACTTTAATCTAAAAGTATGGAGAACTGAGGAACCACTCACAAATTGCAAAAAAAATTAATGCTTCTGCATCGAGGATCATTTACATGTAGGTTGTTCAGTTGGAGTCTGGAAAAAGTCCAGGCAAGTTTTAGAACATTGTTTCTGAAAAGCAATGTGAATGTTGACATGTAAAGTATTAAGTATAATAAGGACTGAAGTCCCAGTGCCGTGTGTTTTACCCAATCAACTGCATTATTTGCAGATCTTGTACGAGCTGTCACAAACTGAGGAGGAGATTGATTTCCACAATCAGTACTTTTACACATTATATTCCCAGGTTTTCTTTGTTCTCACACAGACTTTTTTGTAACACTCGCTACTAAACTATTTGCAAGGCTAAAGGCCTCACCTTGTTCTAAATATGGTTAAAGGTGTCCAGTTAAAGTTTTGTGGTATTTTCGATTCATGACATTAGTATATTTTATGTCTTTAAAGCCTTGTATTGTAAATAGTTCCCCGAAACAACTATGATTGCAGAGTGACTCTCACTACTAGCTAAGTTGGAGTAATCAGTTTTGCAAATCAGTAATTCTGGTCATCAGATGCTAAAATCTCATAATATTTATTTTGAGAAATTGGACAATAATCAGCACACCTGCGATCAAGTCACCATTGTTTTAGGAGCTTATTTATTTGAAATGTTGTTGTAAGACGTAACTTTATGGGAACAGTTTTAACAAATGTAACAAAGAGGAACACTATTTAGTAGAATCAAATGTTAGTCAAACCATGTAAGGGTTGAACATTTCCTAGACCCGTGGATGTACGGGTAATTAACGTGGTCTTTCATTTAAATGTTCTTCTAGAATAGCGAAATAAAATTGATGCTATGACAAACGGCGAGTCAAGGTGTGCTTAGTGAATAACGTATCCCTCTCTGTGTGTGTGTATTTCAGTTTGTTGACCCAAACTGGTGCCGTACGGTACCGCTAAGTTGCATTCTTCATGAGTTCAATATCATTCGATTTCTGCCAATTTTGAAATGAGATTGATATCAGATTGAGAGTTTTCACTGTCTTTTAGCTGTCTGGTGCTGGTATACGTTCCTAGGGTGCCGTGAGCGGATACCCTTAGGAGGGGAGGGGACGTTTGCCGCATATGAGATTTCTCTTGTCTTGAGCTTTCATGACTTGATGGTATGGAAACAATTAGGAACCGGCATGTCTATCAAAATGGGTACAAAATAGTGCTTTATTTTAAGTTTATCATCTATTCCTTATCAATTCTAACCACTATACAGGGTTTAGAGGTGACCTTAACAGGCCACATGGATGTACTATCACCTTCACTGCAAACACCGAATTTGCTATACATTGAGACCTTGAAGCTCGGCTACTTTGTGTTGTAACTTGGCTATTTTCTCTTGCAATCTTATAACCTTGCCCTGAAGTCTCAAAACTTCTTTGTCTGCCTCCGACAGGGGCGTCTTTGTAGTATCTGTAGTTTCTTTATGTCCTTTTTCGTTGTTAACATTGTTCTTGACCTTATTGTCTTCGCTATTGCTTAATCTAGACTCTGTCTGCAGATGGTCCCTAACACGCTTAACAGGCTCTTCCGGTTTTGTTTCGCTATTTCCTGACTTTTGAGACTCTTTCGTAGCACGTTCTACGTGGGAATGCACGCTGACCGCATCAGATTGAAGTTTGTTACCCTTTTCCTCGCCAGCGACGTAATTCTGAAACATTGGGCGAAGCACTGGGGCGAGTAATCCCCATATATAGAGGCACAAGCATGCGCTACTCGAACCCATTTTGATCCAAACCGCTGGCCATGAGCGTTCGAGCCCCCTAAGGTTTGTGGCATGTGACGGGCTGTACCAGTTTGTTAGTGTCATCATAATGTGTAAAGAAGCAAGAAACATGATAAAATGGAACAAGGAGTAGTTATAAGCCATATGCTCGTCGTGTTTATCGACAGATTCAACATCATCGCTGCGTTTTGTAGGCGAGTTCTTGGCCATAGTTTTGAATTCATCTTCATTTATGCGAATGCGCCATCTGCCTGAATAAGTGAGAAAATGACGGCGAATTAAGAACATTGCAAATAATAACTAAATAAATTAGTAAAGAATGACCACCACAAATTAACGAAAAATTACGACTAATCCAGAATAATAAAATTACGAGTGAACGAACGAACGCAAAATTAAACGTCATTTAATTTAGATGATACATAACAGTGCAAAGATTAAAAGCCTGGTGCCTTTTCTCGCTAAATCGTAAAAATTTTCAACTAAAACTTAACAGGTTTTATTAACAGTAAACTAGCTTAAATAGGCAATTCCGTTTTGTTTTTCAAGAACTCTGAGACTGCTGTACTCTGAGTTCTTTGTAAGGTAACAAGGAAAGTCTTCGTTCTAGGGCAGTGGCCCATAAGACCGGTGCTCTCTTGATTCTGTAGCATCAAGCGACTAGTAATCCACTTCCCAATGGATGGAATGCTAGTCCATGACAGTGATGGTGTTGCCGGTGCGTGGTTGCTCTTGGGCTACCCCAAGCCATAGTTAGTAACTATGCCCCAGCATTAAATTCGCCAGTACCCATTCATACACCTGACAGGAGAGTGGCACTGTGTTTTGTCAAAGAATACAACACAATGTCCCCCGCCAGGACTCGAACCTGGACCGCTTGATCCGGAGTCCAGCGCACTAACAATTAGGCCACCACGCCTCCCAAGACTGAGTTCTTTGCACTATTGCACTTTCCAAAACGAAATACGGTGTCGTGTAAACTTACTTAGCTTTGAAGCACTCATAGCTGTACTGAAACTGGCATAAATGAGCATGACGAATACGAATACACCGCTGACAATCCCCTGCATACTCAAGCCTGTAGTTTGATCGTAGCCGGATATGACGTAGCCCGGTGGATTACAGAAGTCATCCGGCTCGTGAGAGAGAGCAGACCATGTGAGATACGTTGTGTAAGCTATCACCACAGCGGCTTGAAACAAACCTGAGAAGAAATGAACAATGGTCTTCAGCCATTAAGTGATGGAGATCAAGTAGAAAAATTGAAGGAAAGACAGCAATAACGAGTTGAAGCCCATTTGCCTTTGTTCTTATACCAGGCGTAGTAATATATCACAAGGGAGTTTAAGCAGTCACGGCAGCCGTAGTAGCACCAGCCGTAGTGATTTGCTTAAACTCCCTACAGTCTCGATTATTCCGTTCCCTTCCTTTATCCCACAACCTTATTTTATCATGCCAGGTTTCCCAGCAAAATGCTCCTTAGTGCACAGTTTGACGAAACGAGCGACTCGAGAGAGTTCTGTTCCAAGATCGATTTTCACTGGCTTTAAAAACAATAGAGATAACCGCACAAAAAAAGCAGCAACTACAACGCTCGCTATAAGCT